AGGTGGGAATCGGCCCCAATCTAGGGCAGCAGGCCCAGGTGCAGCTGCGTTGGTACAGAGCCGGCGGCCAACAGCGTGCATGAGTAAGATGACCTGTGGGTCTGCTGGAGGCAACTAAGGCACATAAGTTTGTGTGGGGGAAGCACTGTGGCCAAGTGCAGTAACGAAATTGGTTCCGGAGGCTGCGATGGCGGCAGGGCAGCAAGGTCTGGAGTGGAGGTGGTTAGTGTACAGCTGCAGGCCGTGAGTGCGTATAACCAGGAGGTGTGCAGGTAACCTGGTAGGAGGTGTCACTTGGAGAGGGGAAGATTCTTGGCTGGGTTGCTGCAGGCTGGATCGAGACAAAAATAAGAAGGGACGGCAAAAATAAGAAGGTGTGCTGGAGGTGGTCGGTGGTGTGTGTGCAGCCAGGAGAGGCAGCTTGAATGGTTGAGGAAAAGTACGCAGCTAGGAGTAGCTTGAACTGCAGTGAAGAAGACCAAATTTGGATCTGTTTTTGAGGAGTAAAGAAGATGGAACAGTGGGTTGCAGCCGAGGTGATAAGTTCCAAGCAGAGCATTCGAAAGAGCTCAATGGTTGCTACTATACTTGTGCTTGCTGCTCAGTGGTGTGCATCAGTTTTAAGCAATGGGGGATTACAAAGATATGGAGCGACTAATTGAGAAATTGGCTCAAGTGATTAAGGTGAAGAACAAGGGCAAACTAATTTTTATGAGAAAAGATTCAGAGGAAAATTTGGAAGTATTAGCCAAAGAGTTAGAAAAATTGAGATAAATAAAGAGTGCAGAAATTCCAAAACAAAGTGAAAAACAACCTTGACAATCTTGTTAATCTTGTTCAAATTGAAGAAGGTAACACGAATAAGGTTCCGACTTCAACTGATGTCTCTTGCTCAAATTGGATGCTGGATTCAGGAGCATCGTCACATCTCATGGGTAGATGGAGCGAGTTTCCATCATATGCTACACATCCATCCTGCATGAAGAGACCATCTAAACCACCAATGGAACTTATCAACATGTCAAAGGAGTTGGCATGGTGAAATGCACTCCTATTATGTGGTCTTTGGTTTTGTATGTTCCATCATTTCCGGTTAGTTTGGTGTCTATGAGCTCCTTGGTTGACGATATTGATTGTCGATTAATTGCTGATTGAATGCATTAATTACTAACTAAGCGGTTGTGTAATTGAGGAGAGGAAGATTGGAAGGAACATTTGTGAGCATGGATGTGGCTTCGGGAAGTCTTGAGCCGTTCCATGGAGAAAAAGGATCTCAACTCCTTATAGAAGTGATGCTAATTGGGCGGGGGTGGGGTGGGGCGTATACCATTGTGGACAAAGGAAGACAGACCATCGAGAGTTATTGTTGGTACTACTCTATGTCTTATGAGTGAAGAAAGATGGAGAAAGCCAAATAAGGAGGAAACTTTGAGGGTGTATACGAGACAACCTATGGGTGAAGAGAGGTGGAGAAGCCAGATTGCCTAGAGGAAAGAGCCAAGAGTTGGAGGGTAGGAAAACCTCCTGAAAGGTAGACTTTTGAGCATGATAGTGCAAACTATGTGCCATATGACTCTCACCTGAGTATATACAGTCAATGGTAATCCCAACTGATTGTAGAGGAGCGAAGCAAGCTCCTGGCATGAAGCATTGCTGGAGATGACAACCATTGAGAACGGTAGAAGAGTTAAGGCATGGGAGCCTACAACACTTCCAAAAGGCAAGAAGGCAGTTAAGTGCAAATGGGTCTACACTGTGAAGCAAGACCAACCCACATGGATCCGGAGGTACAAAAGACCCAAAGTGGTCAGACCCTACCCCGCTCCCTGCGCAAGCGGGAGCTACATGCATCGGGCTGCCCTTTTTTGCAGCAGACCTATGGAACTGACTATGATGATACCTTTGCACCCGTGGCAAAGATGAGTACCGTGGGAACTTTGATATCATATGCAATGCTAGTGGGACGTGAAACATGCATTCTTTTCATGAGAAAGTGAAATTCCATCTAACTTTGTGCGCAGGAGTTCCAATTAATACATAGAGAGAGCTACTAGCGGCTAGTAGGTCGGCTCATTTGTTTGTGCCACTCGAGACCTTGCATATCCTACGTAGTGAGTGTGGTTAGTCGCTGCATGCATGACCCAAGAAGCGGGCACTTAGGGGCAACACGGATATTTTGCGCTATTCCCTGCGCAAGCGGGAGCTACATGCACCGGCCTGCCCTTTTTTGCAGCAGACCTATGGAACTGACTATGATGATACCTTTGCACCCGTGGCAAAGATGAGTACCATGGAAACTTTGATATCATATGCAATGCTAGTGGGACGTGAAACATGCATTCTTTTCATGAGAAAGTGAAATTCCATCTGACTTTGTGCGCAGGAGTTTCAATTAATACATAGAGAGAGCTACTAGCGGCTAGTAGGTCGGCTCATTTGTTTGTGCCACTCGAGACTTTGCATATCCTACGTAGTGAGTGTGGTTAGTCGCTGCATGCATGACCCAAGAAGCGGGCACTTAGGGGCAACACGGATATTTTGCGCTATCTAAAAGGGTGTCCTAGAAGAGGTCTATGGTTTAAGGCCAATGTGCACTTAAATGTAGAGAGCTACTTGATGTCAGTTGGGCTAGTTGCCTTGATGATAGAAGGTCAACAATTGGCTTATGTATCTTTGATGGAGGAGACCTAATATCCTTGAGGAGCAAGAAGTAGCCGGTGGTTTCTTTATCTACAAGAAGTAGAATATAGAGCAATGTCGGTTTGTTTGAGTGAGATGCTATGTGTCGACATTAAGTCAAATTTCAAGGCCAGGTCCTATGAAAATTGGACCTGTCGGGTTCAGGTATGGCCCAAGGAACCCAATCGATCATCAACTATGGGGGTAAGACTCAGGAGTTTCCAAGTTCCGATGGCATACGTTGGGAAGGGACCGATGGGTTATACACTTGCTTGGTCCTAACTCCCATACCTATACACTCGATGCACTAAGGTAGCAAGGAACACATTGAGAGGACACACAATCTAGAGCCTTTACACCATGTGGATCGTTCACACTTTTGTCTAAATCTGCTTATATCTCGTTGAGTTCTTCTAACTTGCCGAGTACCCTCCTTTTTTGTAACCAATCTTCGTATTTCTCCACACACATATAAAAGAGAACAAGTCAGGAAATAGGGCAATTACCCACGTTGGGTGCCTGAACCTGGTATTTGTCCCCATTTCATCTATGTTCTAAATCTCTTGGTGACTTGAAGTGATGTTTCCACGACTACCAATTCACGTGCTAGCTCTTGTACCATTGTTAGGACCCTATGAAAAATCCCATGACAGCTCCTGCCAATTGTGGCGGTTTCACGACATCAAATTGGATATATGTCCATTTCTTCATCCTCTGCACCCGCTTCTCTAGACGAGGTGGAAAATTTGATGTATGGCTCGAGCTACCTATGGGATACAAAGGTGAGACTTATTTTGGCATCCTAGGGTATGTAGTGGAGGCTATTATGATAACCAAGGCTACACCAACGAAGTTCTCTAGTCCTAGTGACATCTCCTTCCCTAAGTATGCTATCGCCTATAGCCTACCTGGGTATCAACCGATCTTTTCCCATGGTTTGGGTTGGCCGGAGGACTCACCCACTACTCGCCTGACCTACAACTTATGGTATACTACGACTACTTTAATTAGGATTCTCTAAAATCGATGAGTTCAACCGGGTGTTGGAAGCAGTTCGAGGCAAGTAGAGAGACATGTCATCGCAGCAGCAACATCAACCCGGAAGTGTAACTTCATAGATAACCACACGGGAGTTGGAGACGCGTCCCCATCATCAACCAATGGCTATAAGAATGACCCACTTGGGCGGGAGAACCCAGGAGTAAGCACTACAAGTTAGGCATGAGGACATCAGGTTGTGGACGCCCTTTCGCGGAGGAACCGGAGGTTGGTCCCTCGCATCCTAGAGAAGAAGCACTTAATGTGAGTTTGGTAAACAAGGTTAATAATTTTCGCTCAATGATCAATGATGAATATGAGTAAGATCTTTTGGCCGACTAGGAGGTTGAGTTTGTTGAAGCACATGCTCGAGGGGATCTGCCCGCATGATTCGAGGATAGATACTATCCTCTGTTGTCCCCGACTCCTAGGAGGGCCCCAAGGTGCGCATCATGAGAAAACACCCTGAATAGTGGAGAAGATGAAAGAATGGTGGGCGACTGCTATGCCATGCCAGAACATTGTGGGGGTAGACAACTAACTGAACCATTAACATGGACGACTACCATCAGGGGCCAAGAAGCAACAAGAGAAGTGAACTAATTAGGTGCGCTCGGAGAATGAATCCGCCGAATCCTTCAGATGAAGGCCGCAACCGCCATGGGGGATCCCGCTCTCCCCGTTGTCACAATCGGCGTAGGACGAGCAAAATATTGAAGCCAAGCGTTTTCATGAAGTAAGATGTAGAAGTCATAACAGATGTCGAGAGCGCTCAAGGGGGAGTACGCTTCTTCTGACCACGATGTTGAGGCCATGGTCAGAGGTTGTTGTGCCCTAGCACCGCAGTTATGGCAAGCTCACATTCCAAAGATGATGGCCGAGACCTTTGCATCTTACGATGGATCTACTGACCCATTGGAGTATGTGGAGATCAAGGTCTCGAAGGACAACTAGGAAAGCCTTGAGCCAACATTACCTCGCGGAGAAGCTCACAGACCTTCCAAGGTTGGGGCCTGGGAGGCTTGGTGATCACCCTTCAAGGTTTCTACTTGCGCAAGAGCCGCACACGCTATCTGATGGCAAATGATTACTAGTTGACCCATTGCAGGTAGCCAGTTTGGCCCTAAGCTCTGTGACCACCTAAGTCTACCTGTTGTGCTCCTCTTGGACGCGGGAAACAACATGTTGCAACTCCTTTTCGTGAGCTATGGTGGACTCAAGTTCCATCTGAGATGCGGTTAAGGGTGTGAGCTGTTGTTGGTGACAACATGATAAAAAGAACCGTGCAATAAATAAAGAAATAGATGAGTCATGCAATGAAGCAAGGAGCAACATACCTGGATGTTGTTTGAGGTGGTAACCATCGAGATTTCTTCATTGGAGGCCCTGCCCTCCCAGCGACCTCTGAATTGGAAGGGAGATTTGTGGCGATGATGAGCTCTCAAGCCCGTCGGAGCGGCCCTATAAGGATCATGAAGAGGGGAATTTGGAACAGTGGGGTTGAAGGAATGGAAATCTTGGTTGAGCATTCCTGTTGGCGCTTCATCATTTCTGCCCCGTGCGAGGCAGGGAAGGCTAACCTCTTTCCAGTTGCCCGACCATCTTGAGCCAGCACAGAGCTAGCACATGTTTAAGGATCTAATCACAATTTTTTGGGAAGGAGCAACCTTTATCAGCAACCAAAATTGACCAAGTATATGTGACTCTAAACGAGCAACAAAGATGATTCTCGGCAGTCGAAGACCACAAAAACCTGCAAGTATGTACATTGATCTTGCTTGGGGACTGGGCTCTTTTACGGCTTCTGATGGGAGGTTTGTTGACAGCAAGTAAAATTACTCAAGGCCTTGCGCTATGAAGGCTGTATAATTGGGCCCCTCTGGGCCAAGGTACAGCCCAGGGAACCCAATCGATCATTGCTGACCAAGGGGTTAAGCTTACCATACTATATGGTGTTCATCATTGTTCTACCTTGGTGACCTGATGAGACGCTCCCACGATACAAATTCACATATTCACATACTAGCTCTTTTACCGCTGTTAGGACCCAACGAAAATCCCTCTACAATGTGGATCAAAGCCCTCCTATCGGAGTCAAGTCTACTAAGGAGAGGGCCATTGAAGCTCTGCTCTGTGTGATACAGGTCAACAATCAACATTACAAATAATCAAGTTCGGCATGACCGAACGATGCATGGAGATATATCGGCTTTTCATCAAAGAGAGGCCTGATGAGGGGATGGACACTGAAGCTAAGCCATGTTACTCTTGCAGAACAAATAGCTGATTGTCTAAGAAGGGGTTAGGGATCAAGGAGTCTCTGTCAGCATGTGACAAGATGGGGATGATAGATATCTATGGCCCATCTTGAGGGGGAGTGTTGGCTGTTTTGGGCTGTGTGTACACTAGTATGTATAGCAGAGAGAAGAATAGAGAATAGAGAGAATTCCATAATTTTCCTCACAGTGATCCATAATTTTTATTATTTGTGTTGTTCTCATTTCTCTTGGGCTTTCTTCTTGATGCATTTGATTCAGTAATTTAACAACTGTGGACAGACTATCAATGCGTGCCTGCCTGTGTTGTTGTTCTTCTAAACCCTGAATTTATGCTCTTTAGTTTGCACAGTTATTCAGATGGTTGCTCTTCTCAATGTCTAAATTTATGTGCTGTAGTTTGCACAATATTCAGATGGTTGCTCTTGATATCTAAATTTATCAATTAGCTGTAACTGTGCAGATAATTGTATATCCAGACTCTCAAAAGAAAATGTGCGATGGTGGCAATGTTGTCGAACCCATTTTTGATGTAAATACGATGCCAGTTACTTGCTCTATCTCATCAATCCACAAACAAGGTAATGCATTATTTCTCCATCTCAGCTGGGGTCTGTTATTTATGAACGTTACCTTGTCTTAGCTTCAGTCCAAATTATTTTGGTAATGAACCAAGTAGTCTGATTTTTCTTGTTAACGAACCAGATAATCAGAACAGAGCCATCAACCTTAACAATGCAGAGAGCCTGATGGATGTAGATCATGCAAATAATATTGAACTGAACTCAGATACAGTGGATCTTGTTTCACATGCATCACCTAGTGCACAAAAAAGAAATGTGGATATGGCAAACTGGACTGACGGAGCCAATGGATCAGTAGACAAGAAAATTAAATTGGATAATGTATCGTCCACTGTGGAGTCTAGTTTAAGTGGGAAGGTCAGAGATGGAAGGTTATCATCCAAGGTACACCCTCTAGCAGCTTTACCTGTTCATGATTGCACTGACAATAAGACCATGGCAGGAATCTCGAAGAGTAATGGAAAGTGCACATTTCCACTAGATCTAAACGTGGTGGATGATGCAGATATAGACATGGTGGATGATGCAGCGACTGGAAATAGCATAACCGGTCTGTCTGAAGATTTACCTGAACAGAACACACAAGATCTTAAGCCAGCACCGGGGGACAACATATCTTCTAGAAAGCCCATGGTTGAAGAAAAGTTGAATAAAGGAGATACACAGCCTACTGATATGTCAGGCGCGCTCTCCCTCTCCCTCGCATTTCCAGCATCAAAGGATCAATAGGCTGGTAAAATGCAACCGGAATCGCAAAGAAGCCTGAGATGAGCAGTAGGAATATACCGTCTTCGATTATCCAGTGATGATGGCTCCTTGCGTTTGCATTCCTGATGTCTTGCGTGATGCATCTTTGTAGCATCAACCCACTGCACAAGGAGTCTGCTGAAGACACAACTATCTTGTCAATGTGCAAACAGATGGCATCTTTTAGAGTGCATTTTGACGACTTTACATGCTCCTGGCGTCACACCCATCTTGAGTATTGAATTGCGAAGAACTTGAGAATGTGGATCATGGCTTGTTTTGGTACAGAAAAAATAATAATATCCAGCTGCTCTTTCAAACATCGGTAGAGATTTGAGCAGAGCTTTAGACTCTGCATTTTAAGTATCATCCAGTCTCTGCATTTTAAATAAATCTCATGTCAGATTTTGTCTTTACCTTTCAACAGTGTGATATATTGTGGGGGAATGGTGGTGTATACGCCTAAAATTGGCACATATATGTTACCTTTCCTGTTGCCTTAAAATTATCTCTGGGATATCTTAATATACTGATGAAATCACTAGTTGAGGGATACCCATTGCAAAAGATTACTCCCAAACTCCTTGTGGTGAGAAGTGGTGCAGCGCGTGTGTGCCATTTGTCATCCTCAGAGAGTTTTGGTGGGTTTTCCCTATGCAGGCCACCGGCGGACAAGTAGGGTTGATTTGATGGCGGGCTACTCTGGTGGGCCTCATCGGTTAGCCGTGAGAAGCTCACTGTGGGCAACCATGTGGCTGGTTTAAAAAATATATACGTTGTACCTTCTCCATTCTGGTGAATAAAAAACCACCGCTAAAAAGGTAAATTTAAAACAGCAAATTAACAAAATTATATATTGATCTGAAAAAACTAAATTATATCTTATCTTAAAAACACTAAATTATATCTTTGTCTGAATATCATATTCCTAAAGTTTGATCAAATACATATACCAATGTATGCTACATCAAATACATATACTACGAGTGTACTACTGCCTCCGTCCGAAAAATACTTGTTGGAGAAATGGATATATGTCGGAGAAATGGACGTGTTTTAGATACATCCATTTTTATCCATTTCTCCGACAAGTAACAATCTAATTAAACTAGCTTGGAGTTGTAAATGATGGTATATCTTAGAAAAATATACTGATATATACCACACCACTTAGAGATATTTCATTATGAATATGTTGTGGAGTAGATTGATCAAGACGTGGAGGTAATGAAGAAAACAAAAGGGATGGCTTAGGATTGGATGGTTGTAGCTGTTAGTTGTACTAGTAAATGTGCCCGTGCGTTGCAACGGGTAAAACAAAATGACTTTACAATGCGAGAAAATCACTTGATTTTATAATTTCACATATATCTTTGTTTAATTACCCATCTTCCGTCTAACCCCAATGCCGGGGTAGGTGGCCAGAGAGGCTTGCTGCACGCACACACCTGACACAACCAAACCAATTCCTAGCAACGATCCACCACAGCCTCTCACCCGGCAACGCTAATGCCGCCTTGTGGTGGCCGCCTTGTGGTGCACCAGTGGATTGGTGTTTGCGCTTGTTACTTTAATTTCTAAAACCAAGTATGTGATGTTATCGACTTGTTGACGACCGAGTTGTAGGTGCTTGACATGAACTCGCCATGCCTTATAAGCTTGACATGTTGTTATAATTAGTCTAGTGTATAACTTGACATGAATATAAAAAATATACAAACTGAGGGAAATACTTGTCCTGCTAGGTCACTATTTTGAAAAATGTTGGTCTTTACAACTCGTCATGCTTCAAACAATGATGTGCACAGCAAGACCACGATCCAACTCATAACCAACAAACACACTCACTCATACTGAATCCAACATAACCAGGAGAAACAGAGAGAAAAAGGATTCAGTGTTCAGATGCAAACATATTGACAAGCATTGTAGATTCTTCGCCGAGTCCCCTGTTTATGCCTTCTTCTCCTACCCAAAAAAGATGACGGTGCTTAGTTCTATAGGGTCAGCAGTATGGAGCCCGGCGTCTTCCGGGCTTTGAAGTCAGCGTGGGCGCGGGACGCCTCCGGCAGCGGGTGGGTGTGCTTCACGCGGATGTGCAGCAGGTCAGTATGTCACACAGCAGGAGCAAGACAAAATGTACCTTAAATATGTGGTGAACCAACATATGGACAGTCATCCCCTTCAGCACGATAGCAGCCGCTGTGTGATCAATCAAAGGTGTGATGGGAACCAACATTGGCTGAAATAACCTGCTCTTTGGCATAAGAGCCCATCGACTTGCCTGCGTAGGCGACAACATCCCCAATGTTCCTGCCAGTCAGCCCGGGCCCTACGGCGGTCACCACACCAACAACTTCCATACCTGTTGGTTGAACAGATCATTAAGGTAGACAATAATCTAACAGAAACATTAATAACAGTGCCAATTGATAGAAGCAAACAACCTGATGCCATATAGTGTCACAGGATAACACAACAGAACACCAATTCTTCTTTAAGCAATAAAATAAATTGGAACGTTTGGTCTTATGTTCAGTGAGCAATGATCTTGAGAATCATGCTTCTGGGCATCTAAAAGAGCGGACAACCAAACTTATGGTGTATGTATCAACTGAAATGTTTGTGCGTGGTTTGAGACATCTTTGAACCGGTAACTGAGATAATGTTGGTTTGGTTGGCAACTGGCCCGGGATAGATACATTTTCTTTGGTTTCATCAGCAACAACAAGCTATCATCAATCGATCTAGTGAAATAATTGCAAGGTTTTTCATCCATACTGTACAAACAGGGGATCTAGTGAAATCAATTGGAAAAGGGTTGCGCTAATGGCAAGGAGCAAGAAAAGGGCAGCTAGCTCGAAATCCGATAAATCGAATACCTCCTGGCTTCAGTTATGAGAGAGAACTCCAAGGCAGGATAAAGACCGAGTTGGATTCAGCCGCGTGGGGAATGAAACAACATTCAACCTAAATAAACAAAATTAGGAAATAGTTAGTCACTAACAATATTCAGAAAATTGACGGTAAAACAATCATGTTGATATGAAAACACAAAATTGGACTGTAAGACCATAATACGCGTAGACTGGTCGGCGCCCGTCATTACCGCTTCTTTCTTGGCGTCGCTGGACAGAAGCCCGTGTCGCTCGACCCACTGCTGTCGTTAGACATCGGCATTGTATCTCACCATATCCCGCCTGACATCTATATCCTCCCCACTCACGAATCAGTGGCAAAATCTGTGAGAGATGTTCTGCTAGACTGTTAAGGGCTGAATTGGCTTATTTTAGTGAATTTGAACATTCTATGGGATGACACTCATGAATAATCACTGCCCATTAGGCCGTTACTGTCTGGTTGTTTGCTCGTGTGCTCATATTCAGTAATTGCAATTTACAAAATAGTCTATGTAAACTTGTCCTGCAATTTAACTGTTCAAGGAGGTGTTTGAGGATTTCTGATGCCAATATCTTTAGATGGTAACCGGCTATGCACTCCTCATTTTCACTTGGAGTCGACTTCTACTAAGTATATGAAAGTGCATTTGTTTCTTATGGCTTGTGTTCTTTCTTCTTTAGAGGGTCATGGACATGGCTTTCTTCGCTGAGGACATCCATCGTTTAGCAAGGTATTGTTGTACAAAACAATAACATAATCTGAATTTGTTAACCCAGTTGGCAGCACAACAAAAAAGCTATCTTCACTCTCCTTTGGATATATATCACATATTTAACAGTCTGGGGTCACGCTTCTTTATTATTTATACTATATAAAAATATCTAATCCTTTTCTTTATTCTTTATTATTGTGTGGGTCATATATGCTAAGTTGTTCTCTTCTGCTGCAGCGCAAGTGTGGATGGACATACATACAGTAATCTCATGTCTGGCTAACATATTTACTTTTGGCAAGAAAAGTGAATTTTGGAGTTTCAGCTAAAAACTTCCATCGAAACTGTGGAGTGAATGACTCTAAGGAGTCGATGAATAATGTCCGTAAGCTAAGCAACAAATAGAAATGGTAAAACTAATATAGAATAGTATCAGCATGGTTGGCCATCAATAGGATAGTAGTTTGCTCATATAGGAGAAGAAAAGGTAACTAAACATCGCCAATTGGTATCAAAGAAAAACAAACACGCCGATTAGATGAAACAGGGGACCAGCTTTAGAGCATTTGGTTCCAAAGCAGGCCACATTTGTGAAACAACCATAGTAGTGACAATTCAAATTAGAAGACTATAACAGAATGATGAGAGAAAGCACTTGTAAGGAATCTGCCGACCCTAGAGAGGAGCAATTCCCTTGTAAAGCCTGGCATTATTAACCAATAAGTTAGAGCGCATAGGATGAGGGTAAGTAAAGCAAATCATGAAGTTGTTAAGATGGCTGGAGATTTACTTACCCAGCAGCACCCTCAGATTTGATGAACTTGGGAAGCCCATCACTCAACCCACAAGCAAATCCAGGTTGTGTCTGCACACGGACCATGACAGTTTCAAAGGGGCATAGAGCGATATCAAAAATTACCTCAGCAGAAGCTGACCCTACAAGGTAAATTATAGGGTCATGTACTTCACGGCATTCTCAGGCCCAACCATATCTGAGTAGGTCTTCTTAAAGAACTTGTAGAACCCAAACTTGCAAGCCCCCTGAGCACTGTAACCAAGCATGGTAGGCACCCATCCCCTGAAAAATCCCCTAGCTCCTTGCTCCTTTAGCAGAACGCTAAATCCAGATGAGATGCTCTTGTATTTCGCCGGGTCAATCTGAAACAATTGATAAAAATGTGTTAGGTCCAAAGTACTTACGTCAAACCTATCAACACTTTACCAGGTGCAGCTTAGAAGGTCCAAGATGGAGAGCAAACACATAGCAGTACATCTCAAATTCCATTATTCTCAACCAAGAAGAAACCCTTTTCTTAGAAATCAGACTACATCCCATAATAAATCACACCCATCTCAATTATCCATTTAT